TTCAACTCGGATAAGCTCAGCAATCAAGTATTTGCCGTAAGTTAAGACTTTAAAATTCAAATGATGGGTAATTTTCAAAGGCTCAAGTTTATTTCCTTTCAGAGGTTTCAGTCTCCTTAGACTTCAGCAGTACGTTTTCCAACAGGAGTCCGTAACAGAGGAGGACAGTAAGTAAGCAACACATTAAAACTACTAGAGGTACTAAACAGTATTAGCACACCAAGTAGTAAACAGTCTGACCATAAACAGAGAGGTTATTGTCCCTTAGTGGAAATTTCACGTATTGATGGTACTTGGCCATAACATTCCTGCATTGGTTAAAATCACAACCCACAGTACGTGAGTAGAGCACTTGTTTCTGTAGTCATGTTATCTCACTGTGGCAGAATGTAAACAGACCCTTGGACCTGCTAGCCTTGAACAGTGAAGGTACTGGAGTCACTTTTTTCTGAAGCTCTTCCAGTAAATGTAACCTCTGCCTTCCTGTCCCAGTTTGAGTCTGTGCTGCAGCTGGAAGCCTGGTGTGGAGCTCAGAAGAAATCTGCCAAAGTAAGAGCAAACTAGAAAAGCAGCTGCAGATGCTTTCCTTGAATTTGTTAATTTATCTGAACTCTCACTGTTATGAAGCAGCAGCTGAAAACACCGCTTCTCTTTTTACTCTTTTCATTTTAAACTGTTTGAAGAGCGTTTGACAAATTATTTAAATCAGCGTTTTGTCTGAGAAGATTTCGGTTATTATCCCAATAACAAGTTTTTCTTTGACTCCAGAAAATGTTTGTCGCTTTTCTGGATTTTCCTTTAACATGAAGAGTACAGACTGATAAAGAATTCCTTTAGTCATAACTATGCTTACATTTAACAGTTATTGTAGAAAAAACAAACACACACTTTTCAGAGGTGTGTGTTGATCGTTCCAGCATTTAAACAGCCAAATGGTAAATGGCCTGCATTTGTATAGCGCTTTTCTAGTCCTTAAGGACCCCAAAGCGCTTTACACTACATTCAGTCACACACACATTCACACACTGGGGATGGCAGCTACATTGTAGCCACAGCTGCCCTGGGGCGCACTGACAGAG